TGAAAAATTAATATTCTTAGTCACTGGATTCCAGTTAACTTTTTTTTCCTACTTTGAGTTTCTTTTTAAATCGCACATCTCTTTTAACTCAATTATGCAATTTTGGAATGCTGAGAGGTTGGAAACTACTGAAATGTTCAAAAAGGGTTAGAGGAGGGCAAATTTAGAAAATGAGTTGAGAAGACAACCTTAAGTGCCTAGTAACAGGTGGTACAGTATAAGTGATCTATAATATACATAGTTTATATTTCTTATACTGTGTTTCCTCCTTGTAAAACCAATGCAAATTCTTTACATAAGAATCAAATACAGTCAAAGAATTTAAGGAATATCCACAATCCCATCTACCTAGAGACAACCCCTGTTCTTTGCTATCTAACCACCTAGAACCTCTTGCAATGTATAGTCATTGTCCAAACATGGAATGCATTCACATAGTATTCTATACTCTATCATAATTTAGTTTAGCCATCCAGCTATTAGATATTTAGATGTTCCAAACAATGCCCCTTTTTTGATGTGTAAATGGTTACTAATTTTTACTATTATAAAGAGCTTCAAGGAGGCAAAAGTGAATATGAACTTAAGATTTAAATGCAAAGATGAAAAGAACTTAAGATTTCAGGAATCATGCACTGTCATGATTCTTGTCACTCTCTAAATCATTCGTGTATGAGTTTATTGAACAAACATGTCAAATATATATACCTACTGTGTGCCAGGCACTTTGCTAGATGCTGGGGATGCAGTAAATAAACAGATGTGTTCCATACCCTCATAGACATCAGGCAAGAAATAGATATATAGAATTGTAAACATTTAAAAAAGAATGATGATATGGGCAATACAACCTTTACCAAATACAGTAGAAAAACCATTGAACAGAGATAAAAATCTTGAAACATCTGTGGTAGTAATTCCATTACACCAGTGACCAAATTGCTTTCTGAAAATCACCTCCCTATGAATCACCTGGATTCTTAATTCATTCTCCTGTTTTAATATGTATATTAACTACTCATTCTTTCCTAAAACTGAAAGCTCAAATTACAAAGACTCAGCAGCAGACCAAATGTATAGAGTGTGGGGTAATCACGCAGCTGGTGGACATTCTTCATCAATAGGTGAGTATGAGATTGTGTTTGGCAGCACTGTGGAGTTGCGTGAACATCACCGTGGGCTCTTTCTGTAAAATCACGTGGTGCTAACACATTTCAATAACCTCATTAACTTTCACATACAATTTTCTGAACATCATAAGTCTATTTATAACCTACCACCTGCCATGTATTCTGCATATTATTCCTAATCTTCATGATAATCTTAAACAGTACATATTTTTATCCCTACGTTACAAATTAACAAACTGAGGCTCATAGAGGTTAAATCATGTATCCAGAGACACAGTCTGAACAGGCTGTTGGCTAGAGTATTTACTTTGCATTTTTCTTCCTTCCTTCCTTCCTATTTCTTCCTTCTCTATTTCAAGTGATAGAGAACAGCTATGGTGAGTCTGCCTGCTCCCAGGGTACTGCTTTATAAAATGGATTCATCTGTCGTGATCTGAGAGGAAGAATCAGTAAACCTACCCCAAGAGAAAGGGCTGCTACAGAATTCATCCCATGGGGTGCTGCCCTTTTCCCTCAGAGCCAAGCTGCTTTGATTCTTAGCAACCAAACAGCAGAGCACATATACATGCCTTTGAGAGGCGCAGTGAGCTCTGCCTCATCAGGATTGCCACATCCAGTCCTACCACGAGTGCGAACCTCCCAAAACTGACAGTTTTTCTCTCATCCTTCCCACTCAAAGAGGAAAGAATGCTACTGTCATTTCAAGGAACTTAAAGCCACACACATCTCAGGGTCTTCTCCAGCGTTCTTCCTATGGTCCCAGCACAGGCAGGCAAAGGAGGCTGCTCCAGGTCACTGGCCCATATTCTGTAACATAGGCCAGGGTCTGGGATTAGGTGTTAGGAATGTAGGGGTGTGGGACTCTGGAGTGAGAGCCCTGGGTTTAATGCCCAGAACTGATCTTTACCTTCTCCAAGCCTTGGTTTCCTTAAGATAAAAATTAAAAAGCAGACCATAATAGTATCCCCACTGACTTGTTAATGAAGGTTAGATAAGATAGTATTTGTAGTTCAGCACAGCAATAGTAGGGACCAGGCACCCAGTGATGAATTTTGCCTGTTGGGGGTTTCATTTAAATGATAAGAAGTAAATAAAAAGTGAAAAAGTCACAGAGAAAAAGAGAAAAAATCTAGAGGGGGCAAAAAAATACAGAAGTTTTGGTCCCAAATTTCATGATTTCAATTTTATTACAACATGCCAGTCTTACAACGGTATATAAAAGCCAGCATTTCAACAACAAATTTTTGACCCATCATGAAAATTAGAATTCTACTTCTCTTTAAACATGTTTTAACAAGAATCAAAGCTATTCAGGAAGAATGGAAGGTTGTGCTGTTATTTCAAGTGATAGAGAAAAAAACATTATTTGAGTCTGAAGAATCATTCATTTTTAATATAATGAAAATTTGAATCTGATATAACTAATTGCTTAAACCTCTCTTGCATGTACTACAGCAAGATCATAAACGATATCAAAGCATAAAGAGAAGAATAAGAATTCTTTATCTGCAACAGGATTCCCTATGGTATTCTTCCATAATGTATAGGTCTGTAACAGATATTCAACAAGAGAATTTAAGACAAGATATCATTTAACATCCTAATCCAGTGTTACCTTCAGGATCTCATCATACATACTTGGAGGATTACTAAGTCTGACAGATAGTTATCTTGTACTCTTTTAATATGCCATAGCAAGCATTTGGCATAATTAGGTGTGTTGCTGCCTTATCACCTGCTCAAGGATAACCAGAGAGCAACCCAAGAATTCTGGTATTTTCAGAAATTCAGATTTAAGGCAAACTTTGAACTTTACTATTTATAAATCATATATTCAGCTACCAAAGTCACCACAAGCTACAGACATGCTTTGCTACAAGGCACATGCTTAATTTAGGAAAAGTAGATACCTTGTTATTTTACTTTATTTAAAAAACGTTCCTATCAGATTTCTGAAGACTATGCTATATGGCTTTAAAACAAGAATTAAGGTTAAAAACAATCAAAACAGAGCAGGGTTAAGGTCAGAAAAAATTATTCTGACCATCCTTCCTTCACATAAAAAGTCTCCTGTATTAGGATTCTTAAATAATCTAATTTATGCTTTTCAATCTGTTCTCAAATAGCCAAATATTTGTTTATTTATTTATTTTGAGATGAAGTCTTGCTCTGTCACCTAGGCTGGAGTGCAGTGACACAAATCTCAGCTCACTGCAGCCTCCACCTCCCAAATTCAAGCAATTCTCCTGCCTCAGCCTCCAGAGTACTGGATTACAGGCACCCACCACCATGCCCGGCTAATTTTTTGTATTTTTAGTAGAGATGGGGTTTCACCATGTTGTCCAGGCTGGTCTCAAACTCCTGACCTCAAGTGATCTGCCCACCCTGGCCTCCCAAAGTGCTGGCATGAGCCATCATGCCCAGCCTAGCCAAATATTTAAATAAGTATGTGCTGACCCTAGGAACATAAGAGTCTGACAAAAAGCCTTAGCAGTTTAAAGTGTCAGCTGCTTTTCTTCTTTTTAAGTTTTATTTTGTTTTTAATTGAAGCGTAACAATTGTACCTATTTATGGGATACAATGTGATGTTTCAACACACATATACATTGTTTAATGACCAAATCAGGGTAATTACCATATACCTGTCATCTCTTTTGTGGTGAGAACATGGAAATCCTCTCTTCTAGCTTTTTTGAAATATACAATACATTATCATTAAATATATTCACCCTACTGTGAAATACAACACTGGAATTTATTCTTCCTGTCTAACTGCAGCCTTGTACCCATTGACCTACATGTCTACAGCCCTGTCTCTCCCCTCCCCAGCCTCTGGTAACCACTATTCTAACTTTCTACTTCTAAGTACCAGGTTTTATGCCATATGTAAAAATAATAATGATAATAACACAACTTTTAAAGTTTTTTTTTTAAAAGAGCGTCAGGACAGTTATGCTGGAAACTCTCCTTGGGACAATAAAAGGTGAAGTGTTTCTTTCAGAAAAATGGCTTCTGCTTCACCAACTACTGTGCAAAATTCCCAGCCCTGAATATGACTGATCTGCAGGGAACCCTAGCTGAGTTACCTGACCTACCTGTTGAGCAGAAGCCCCCAGAGAGATTCAGCTTTGAGGCTTCATTAAGCTGTGTTCAGCACGGTTCAAAAAGGTTATTGATACAAAGAGGAGTTATTCCTGGAGGATCACTCCTAAAAGGTCAACAACTCATTAGTGAGAATACCTGAAGGACAATAATGATCACCTTTCAAAGAAGGAGTAACTATTATTTTACCGAAGTAGAACTAAGTGACACCCGAGTTATAAAGACAGTTTGGGGAATCCTGCTGCACAAGATCTTCAAACAACTAACGTCCCTGTTCTTAACTCGCAGCTCTGATCCAAAGAACATTAAGGGCATCACGCACTCTGAGATGAGGGTAGCCTCTTTTAACCCTTGTTTATAGAATAACTGGCTGCGGGTGACAGGACTGGGATGATGCTGTCCTTGTTCCCCAAAAAAGAAGCAAAATCATCTTTTTTACAGGGCAGGTATTTCCAGTCTAACTAGGGAAACGTGCAGCTGTTCGCCAAGCAGTAAAATCTCAATACGTATCTATTTAACAAAACCCCATTATGTCTTAGGCGCGGTTCTTCGCGCTTTATAAAAGTGAACTCATTTGATTCTAAATAATGATAACATTTTAGGTACGGAAAATGGTGCAAAAAATCCATGAAGATGGGGACTTTCTACCACCCCAGCCGCTTTACAAGGAAATAACCAAACTTCTAGTCCCCAGGTCAAAAAGTAAGGAGATTAAAATCCAGACAAGGGAGCTTAAGGACAAAAACCGCAGCCGCGCTGGGTCGTTACCGTCTACAGGGCACTGGTGGTCCGAGTCGCTGCTCATCTCCGTTCCCCCACTCCGGGCTGCCCCGGGCGCGGCTCCCGCAGTCTGGGCGGCGACGGTGGTTGCTGAGGCAGCGCCCCCCTAGGGACCCGCAGGTGCACCAGGCAGCCGCGGAGCGCACACCAGTGCAAAGAGAGGGATGAGGACGCGCGCGCTCCGTGCTCCTTTCGCTTTGCTATCCGAGGCTCCAGTGCCAGACTTTTGCAGCCCGCGGCTCTCTTAATATTTGGAGCGCTGCTGGCTGCGTTGCCACAGGCTTGACCCAGGGCCAGGGTCTCTCCGCCTTTGAGGGGAAGGGGTGGGAAAGTGTGTAGGAACGTGGGTAATTTGGGTAGGAAAAGGCAGGGAGCACCCTACCAGCCCTCCTAGGATACAGGCTGGGCAAGGCAGATAAGTGGCTCTTGGCCTGGTGACCTTTCCAGCGTCGCGTTCTTTGGAGTAACCACTTCGCAGAGCCTCATCCACCCGGAGGAGCCCCAGGCTAAATATGATGCCTGAGCCAGGTCATCAGCTGAAGGAACCTATTTTAGGGCAGCTGTGGTGAACAGGATCCACTGCCCATTCATTCAGCTCTGTCCTGACATTTAAGAGTTCTATAAGTGAATCCCTTTTCCCAGTCCACTTTCAACTTTCTCTGTGTGTGTACCTCTGCAAAATTTTAAGTTTGGAAAAGGGAAATGGTTGGGAGTGGTAGGCATGTTGTTACCTTATGATAATGTGCAAAAGGAGGTGGTAAAAGGTGAAATATTGCAAAAGGCTCAATATTTGGTCTTTAGAGTAAAATTTTCTCACTGTATTTGCTCCAGCAAGCCCTTGGAATTTTAGTTTCAGTCATGTTCCTATTGTAAATTTAAATTTAATTAGTGAGTGCAGCTTTGTCATTCCTCCAACAGGCTTTATGTTTAAAGTGGAATTCCCTTAGGACCTTTTTACTGAGGCTGTCGATGTGACAGAAACAATCAGTTAATGCCATCTCAAAGCACATTTATGATAACTGCATTTACGGAGCTGCATTTGTAATCCAGATCTCTCAATGGACGAAAAAAAATCTCACTTTACATTTGCAAATGCCTAGTGTCACTTCTTAGCAGGTGAATTTTTTTCCTCTGGTAAGCATAATTGTAGTTCACATCAGTGAAGACAGTGCAGACCTTTCTTCCAAATAAGGATAGATTATTTCTAATATACCAACAACCAGAGTTACTAAAGTCAAGACGCTGCAGATAAATTTCATAAAGACTGTGTAAGCTTCCGAGATCCCCCCACACTCTTTTGTATCCAGTCTCAGCAGAAATATCACTGAGATCTGGTGATGAAAACATACATAACTTAGGAGTTAATCTTCTGTAACTCTATTAAAACATACTGAAAGAAGTGCAGTCCTGTGTTGATTAATGGTGGGGATATGTTCTGAGAATGCATCTCTAGGCGATCCGTCATGCAAACATCCTAGAGTGTATTTACACAAAGCTAGATGGCACATTCTACAACACACTTAGGCTACATGGTATAGTCCATTGCTCCCAGACTACAAGCCTGTACAGCACATCACCGTACTGAATGGTGAAGGCAACCATAAGACAATGGTAAGTATGTATGTATCTAAACATAGAAAAGATACAGCAAAAATATGGCATAAAAGATAAAATAACACGTTACATCTGCATAAGGCACTTACCATGATTGGAGCTTGTAGGATTGGAAGTTGCTCTGAGTTAAGGCAGTGAGTGTTAAGTGAGAATGAGAGCCCTAGGAAATTACTGTACACTACTGTAGACTTTATAAACACTGTACCTTTAGGCCATACTAAATGTATTAAAAATATTTTCCTTTATTTAATAAATTAATCCTAGCTTATTGTAACAAACCAAAAACGTATAAAACGTTTCTATAGGCCAGGTGTGGTGGCTCACGCCTGTAATCCCAGCACTTTGGGAGGTTGAGATGGGCGGATCATGAGGTTAGGAGATCGAGACCATCCTGGCTAACACAGTGAAACCCCATCTCTACTAAAAACACAAAAAGTCAGCCGAGTGTGGTGGCATGTGCTTGTAGTCCCAGTTACTCAGGAGGTTGAGGCAGGAGAATCGCTTGAACCCAGGAGGTGGAGGTTGCAGTGAGCCGAGATCATGCCACTGCACTCCAGCCTGGGCGACAGCGAGATTCTGTCTAAAACAAACGAAGTTTCTATAAGTTTTTTAATTTGGCAAACTTTTTGACTTTGTCATAACACAGCTTAAAACACATTGTCCAGCTGTACAAAACTATTTTTTGTATCCTTATTCCATAAGTTTTATGTTTATTTTTATTTTATAAGCTTTTTGGTTAAAAACTAGGACACAAACATACATATTCACCTAGGCTTATACAGGGTCCAGATCATCAATATCACTGTCTTCCACCTCAATATCTTGTCTCGCTGGAAGGTCTTCAGTGGCAGTAATACACATAGAGATGTCGTTTCCTATGATGATAATGCCTTCTTCTGGAACACCGCCTGAAGGTCCTGCCTGAGGCTGCTTTGCTGTTAACTTTTAATATACATATGTATGAGGAGTACACTATAAAATTACTAAGTATATAGTTAGTATAGTATGGTAAATACATAAACCAGTAACATAGTTGTTTATTATCATTATCAGGTGTTATGTATTATACATAATTGCATGTGTTATACTTTTATAGGACTGACAGCACAGTAGGTTTGTTTACACCAGCATCACCACAAACACAGGAGTAATGCACTGCACTACAACATCACAATGGCTACAAAGTCACTACGTGATAGAAACTTTTCAGCTACATTATATTCTTATGGAATCACCATCATATATGTGGCCCATAGTTGACTAAAACATTATTATGCAGCACATGATCGTATACACTCCAGCCTGTTTTTCGCTTTTTTCTTAGCATTTTAATAAGAAAATCCTCTCCATTCTAGTTCAGAATAGTGACCCGTGGCAGCTGCTGCTAAATTTCGTATTTCTCTGTGTAACAAACCAGGGCCTGAAGGGGCCACAGTCATTTTACAGACCCGGACAAAGACCCCCAAGCAGGGAATATGCCTTTCAAAATTTCTTAGATTGAAAACCAGAAACTGCCCTATAGCGCACCTCTTAATGCCTTATTTCAACTATCACATTTATTCCTGTACAAAGGTGTATTGCATTATATTCTTCAATTACTAGACACTTTCCCAGCGCCCGACACTAAGGATTTAAAGAAAAATTCTGCCCTCGGAGAGTTCGGTATAATTGAGGGAGAGATGCATAAAACCAGCTAACCTTTCCTAGATGTTTTATTTTCTGTGAAAGATAAAGGGCATTGAGGAGCCGCTGCTGAGGGGATGGTTAATTCTAATAGGGGGATTAAAAACCATCTCCAACCGGAAAAGACCATTTTGAAATACTTGGAAAAATTCACTAATGACAGTTTCTGTCGTGTACTATGAACTAGGTACTCCGCCAAATGCTGTTTATACATTCCCTTTTATAACCTTTGTAAAAATAGGAATTATTGTCCCATTTTGCAAATGGACAAACTGAGGTTCACCCAGTTCAGGTGCCTGAGGCAGGAGACTTGCTTGAATCTGGGAGGTGGAGGTTGCAATGAGCTGAGATCACGCCACTCCACCCCAGCCTGGTGACAGAGCAAGACTCTGTCTCCAACAAAACAGATTAAGTAACTTGCCTAAGAACCCAGAGGTGAAGAGTTTTAGAATCATAATCGGAATGCAGTTGTCTCTTATTATAAAGCCTGTTTCCTATCTCTACAGTGGACTGCATTGATCAGCAAAGATACTTTGTAAAATCCTTGTAGTGTAAAACTTTTCACATAAACCTTTCAGAAAGTCTTTTGTGAGTACGAAGATGTGCCACTTGGTGTTATAGGAAACTGGACTGTGCCTAGGCAGTCACATTTCCCTCATCGAGGAATCACTACTTGTCATGACAAGATAGAACACACAAATGGCTCTCTAAAAAGAACTTGGAAGGCTTTGCGCAGTGGCTCATGCCTGCAATCCAGCACTTTGGAAGGTCAAGGCTGGTGGATCATGAGGTCGAGAGATGGAGACCATCCTGGCCAACATGGTGAAATGCCATCTCTACTAAAAATACAAAAATGAGCTGGGTGTGGTGGTGCACACACCCAGTTCAGGTGCCTGAGGCAGGAGACTTGCTTGAATCTGGGAGGTGGAGGTTGCAATGAGCTGAGATCAAGCCACTCCACCCCAGCCTGGTGACAGAGCAAGACTGTGTCTCCAACAAAACAAAACAAAAACACTTGAAAATCAATATCCCAGGCAGGACTGCCAAGGAAATGCATTTATTAATTTATAAATTTGTTCAACATTTGCTGGGCACCTACTACATTGCACATACTTTTTATGGAAGCTGATGTCATCCCAACAACAGATTTCCATAGGAATGCTCCAAGGAATTAGATATGTACATGAAAAGAGAGAAAAAAGAATCATTACTCCATGCAGAGTTGGCCAGTAGGCCATTTTATTTAAACTTGAGAAATGTGCCTTTTGTCGAATAGGAAGTGAAAGAGAATAAAGAAGATCCCAAGCTTCTATTCAGATGAGAAAATCTCTACCGGTCACATCTATCCAAGAGGCCCCCCAGATTGTGTGGGTCTGAAAAATCTGGAAGCGCACTCAACAGAGAGGCAGCAAAATGCAGTGATTAAGAATCCAGTCTTTGGTGTCAAGTAAACACTACATTCAGATGCTGACCAGTCCGATCAATGGTGCTCAATACGAGGTCAGTCCAGTACTATCTAATGAATGAGTAACTAGAGCAAGCGATAAAACTAACCCTAAGACTTCACATCTGTAAAGTGGGATTAATAGTATAAACTTCAAGGAACTTTTGTGTGATGTCTCTGTATTAGTAAAGAAGTGCTTTCAGTTGCTAATGGCAGAGATCTAAATTAGCAATGATTTAACTACATTAGGTTGTTTTTTTCATCATTTAGCACAAAGTGTGGAGGTGTAGACATCATCTAGGGTTATTACAGTTCTATATTTTAATCAAGCATGTTTGAATCTTCTTCTGTAGCATCTTTAATGCAGCCTTCCAGCCTCAGAACTTTCTCATGGTCTTGTAATGGCTGCCAGAACTCCGGAGGACTCCCGTTAGTCTTCCAAACAGGAAAGGAAAGGAAAGGGGAAAGGGGAGAAAGTGGCATCTGGCAGTTGATTCAGACCCTTTAAATAACTTTCCCAGTGGCTTTGTTCAACAACATCTATTTAAAATTCAACAGACGCTTCTTCTCAAGAGAGGCTAGGAAGTGTGTGTGTGTGTGTGTGTGTCTGTGTCTGTCTGTGAATGTGGGCACTTTAGGGGTTCTGCTATCAAAGAAAAAGAGAATGGAGATTGGGTGGACAGCCAGCAATATC